TGATGATGCTCACAATGCCAGCTTTAATAAAGTCTCAAAATGTATGTTTCTTTTATTTTATTACAGTTCTTTTAGTTCAGAAAAAAAAGTGCTGTTTTCTGAGGTTTTGTCAGACAGTGATAACAGGTTCTAGACCCTTTTTTGATTCCACTGACATTAAAGCAACCAGGGCTGAATGTTGCCAGTGAAACTTAACCATCCATTTTTTCTGTCCATATTCTGACATGCCTAATCCCAAGTGGGGCCACGCAAGCTGTTCTGCCGCCTATCTCCAGCTGTCTACGGGCGAGAGGCAGGGTACACCCTGGACAGGTCACCAGTCCGTCAAAGGGCAACACAGAGACAAACAGGACAAACAACCATTCACGCACAGAGAATTTAGAGAAGCCAATTAACCTAACAGTCATGTTTTTGGACTGTGGGAGGAAGCAGGAGTACCCGGAGAGAACCCACGCATGCCGAGGGAGAACATGCAAACTCCATGCCGAAAGACCCTGGGCAGGGAATGGAACCCTCAACCTTCTTGCTGCAAGGCAGCAGTGCTACCCACTGAGCAGCTGAAGCTTAACCGCAAGAATAATTACTCTGGCTTTTTTATTTTTTTTTTATAGCCTATATATTTTGGATATCTTATTTTATTTTATTATTTTTCTTAGGCTTAACCAAAATAATTAATTACTGAAATCATTAATCACAGTTCCTTAATAGATTAAAAACTAGAAACCACTAGAATATTTAACTGTGACAAATAAAGAGATTTTGAAGGGGGGATGTTGGTCCCATGATTTTTTTTCTGATTCTGTATTTTAGACTTTTTTGTCTCTTTTATGAGATGAAAGAGGAATATCAATGATTCCGTTATATTTGCACATTAAATCTATGTGGTAATATTGAATGAGACGGAAGGACGATGGGTTTGAAATGTTCTGGTGTGGGTGATGCGTCTCCCCGGCCTAAGGCTAACTTTCAGGATCTAGTTTGATCTTCAACAAACCAGTGTTCACTTGTCATATCAGCTCAGATCTGTTTACGCTGCTGCTGCAACTGTTTCTCTTCACCAGTTGATCAGTTGAACTATTTCCTGTCTTTTACCTCTCTGTTTGTCTCTTCAGGCAGTAGAGGATTTTAGGAGTCTGGTTTGGGTTGAGTATCCTTTAGTTTCTCAGCATAAAATATTGAATAAGACACAGAGCTAAAAATGGAAAATAACATGACTTTGTGATTAAGAGTACTTGATTTACCTAGTGCAAACCGAGCCAATTGCTCCAAAGGAAAATGTTGCCATCTGCTGATGAAAGATAACAATAACAGGTCTCAAGTCGAATATGAACCTTATGAGAAAATATATTTCCAATTTTCTTTATAGCAGTGTTGTTTTAAAAAGGATGGTTATTTACATCAATTGTGGACTACATCCTATTTTATTTTTCCAACCCCCTTTTTCTTCTGAATCCATTAATATTTATTTGCACTACTTATATGACCTAGTTAGTGTTATTAAAGCTTCCCGACTATGCCACTGTTAGATATTACAAGTTTTTCTGAACATCTAAGGACTGACCCAGTTTAGCGTTAGTAGCTGGGGGTCTACCATGTTGGACTGAAATAATAACAGCAAATGATTTCATTTGCAGTGTTTGAGTGTTAGAATGCTTTCTTTGTTCAAATAATCAGGCTGGGTTTGGAGAACTCTATAATACTGTGTTACTTTCCAGGGTAAAAAAATAAGGGATTGAGTTAAAAAGGATGGATCACTAGGAGCTTATATTGATTACAGGGGCCTCAACCAAATTACTTTGGAAAAATAAATATATACTTCTACTTCTCTAAGCAGCTTTTGATCTGGTTCATGGCTCACATTTCTTCAACAAGTTGGATCTCTGAAATGTCTTTCATCTCTTACCATACAGGCTCTAAAAACACCAAACCCGATGCCCTGTCCAGGCAATACTTCAGTGACCAGGAACCCAAAATCTCAACCAGTATTCAATTCAACCTTAATGCATTTTGGGAGCCTTATGGCGGACCCATCGGACCCTCACACTAGACCTCCTGACCGAGTTTGTGTTCCTACTTCCATTAGGTCCTGTCTCATTCACTGGGCCCACATGGAAAATTCTCCTGCCATTCTTAAATCAACCGAACTCTCCTACTCCTTAGACAAAATTTCTGGTGTATGGTGGAGGTATAAGGATGTTAAAAGCTATGTTCTAGCCTGTCCAGTGTGTACCCGCAACAAAGCCAGTCACCAGCTTCCCATTGGTGTTCTTCAGCCATTGTCTGTCCCTAAATGTCCATTTAAGATAGGCAATGGCTCTCAGTTCAAGTCTTAATCCCTTAACTAATACTCAATCCGAATAAATGAACTAGGAGCTTGAGGCATCCCTCCGCTGCCTCTGTTCGTCACATTTGTCATGGCGTACTTAGTTGACTTGAGTCAAATATGTTCACTATTGTCACACTTCCTCAACTACTGGTCTGTCTCCATTTGAGTCCTCTCAAGGATACCAACCTCCCCTGTTTCCATCTGACGAGCAGGACATTGCCGTTACCTTGGTCAAACACCACATTAGGGGCTGCAGATGGGCCTTGAACCTGACGATTTCTGCTCTAAACCAGGCAGTGGAAACAAATCAACGTGTGGCTGATCAGAGAAGGATTTCTACTCCCCAGTACTCATCTGGAAAAAAGGTTTGGCAATGAACTCTTGACATAAATTTTAAGGTGTCTAATCTAAAACTCTCTCCCAGATTCCTCTTTTGATGGTTTAAGTGAGGGGCTAAGGAAGCCATCTTAGTTAACCTGTAAAAAACATCTCTGAACAGAGGGGGTGACACAACCTTTCACTTACTTAGAAAGCACTTTTAGGAACAATAGCCAGAAGATTCACCTCCCACCTGTCCTAACCTGACTCACACTTCAATGAAGCATATGACTAAAATGAGGGAGCTAACGAATCATCAGAACCCCCTAATGACCATTAACACCTCATGTGACCTCCATGGCCTATCCAGTAGGAGTGATCAGAGCCATCTCTCTTTCCTCCAAATTTGTTCCACCTAAAGTATATTAATCTCAGTGCTTCCCACCATTAGTTAGAACTGAAGAAGCCTCTTGGATGAGAGGAGAAAATTCTTCTAGAAAACTTCACATCCAGTTACCTAAACTGGAATTTTCCAGCTTCAAATAATGTACTTGTTTCTGTACCTGCTAGATCTCAGTGCTTCCACGTGTTGTATAAATTTAAGAGAACTGCACTAAACTGGTTTAATTGTTATTAGTCTAACAGAAATCTATTTGTTCATATTATTGACATTTTTTTCAAGCTCTTTGATTACTTGGGACGTACCGAGAAATTTGTGCTAGGGCCAAAACTCTTTACTATGTCTTTGTTTCCAAATGTGATAATAACTAGTTTGGGTTTAATTTCCACTGTTATGCTGATGATACTTACCTATATTTGTCCATTAATCCTGATCAAACTAACAAAATAATATAGACTACATGCATGTCTTGTAAACCCTGAATGACTTCAAATGTTTTGCTTTGAATAATAAAAAAAGAGAGAAGTTATTATTTTGGAACAGAGTCTTTGAAAAATAAGCAGATTAGTCTGGCACTTCATATGGATGGCATGAATTAGCTTCAGATATTCTATAAAATCTTATTTCTGATCAGGACTTGTCATCTGAATCTTATATTAAACAGGTTTCTAGAACTTTTTTCTGTCATCTCCAGAAGATTACTAAAATGTAAGCTATCCTGTCCACAGGTGATGCTGAGGAACTAGTCCATGCATTTGTTACCTCAAGGCTGACTATTGTAACTCTTTATTATCAGGAATTTCACAAACGGTAGTCAAAAGCCTTCAGCTGAATGTATAGGTACATGATTAGACCCAACATGTAATTTGCACGACTGCAAGTATCTATATGGTTATTGTAAATACATTTCAAATGGGTAATCACCTTTTTAAAGTGTTAGATAAATAAACAACTGTTAAAGGTGTAGTGGAGGATGTTCTTTTTCTGTGTGGATCATCAAAATAAATGGTCATCCTGATTGTCAATCATTCTGGTAATATGTTTACATAACGCTGTCCTATGAGCTCGTCCCCATTTTCCCTTACCAGTGGTGAGTCTGACATAGTGGAAAAATTGCAAATCTTCTTTTGGAAAATAAGCTTGTATGAGCAATGCAAACAGCAACTTTTAAACAGAGCATGTACAAGGAGAAATGAGCTTTCTCCTTGTAATCTCATTGTAATTATTTTGTGGAGATTTTTGTATTTTTTGTGGAGATGCTGAGTCTCTTTTAAAAAAAAATTGCAAAGATTCTCCATTTTACCTTTAACTCCACCGCTCATGTCAATATCAATGAAAGTAATGATGTGTTTCGAATCAATTAATCTACGGGATTTCGTGTACTCTTTGAATTTGTGAGAAACATCTGAAGATTACATTTGTGTAATTAATTTTGCCATACAAAATTAGTTGGTTTGTAATAAAAATAACTGTCTCCATGGCCAAAATACAGTATTACACTCCTACAGTCAATTACGATATATGTTTGAGTTACACATATATTGTAACTCAAGAGTCCAAACATTGATAGAGTGGGTACAGTGATAGAATAAATGAGAGGTTTATGTTCCATATTACAAAAACTGCATTTAACTTCAAGATCTGAGAATTTTGAAAAATATAAATTTGTAGGATATAAAGTGTGTAAAATGATGTGAATCTCTTATATGATTGGAGAGTACTTCTAATAGCCAGGCCTTCTTCTAGTCAGTGTCCATAAAAATGTTCTTTATTGAAATTTGTTGCACTTTATTTTCCTCTTGGATTCATCCTCTTTTCGTAGAAATAATTCTGTATATGTTGTTGCATTTGGATTCCAATAGATCATGGGGAATTTTCTACATAAGACCCTTTAAAATACCGATGACGTATTGAAGTCAGACATGAACAATCGATCCCTGCTTGCTCGCGAGCGTAGAGCGATGTTGTCATGCGTGCTAACGAGCGTTGCTAGTCACTTTGCCATGGCGGCGCTGGTGTCGCTGATTAAGGAGGGGACTTCGCAGCATCTTGTTTGAATTCCCTTTGGTGACGGATACCGCGTGTGTTTACTTCTCCAAGATTTGATTTTAACAACATTTATCTCCAAAGCGGCCATGACCGTGGAGCAGAATGTCCTCCAGCAGCATTCTCAGAAGGTAAGACTGTGGAAGATAACTTGACGGTTAGCTAACTTTAGCTTAGCTGCATCGCTGCATAGTTTTATTGCTCCACAACAAAAATTGTCACAAAGTCAGCGTATTGGTTGGTTGGAAAGACATTAAAATGCTACCCAGTTAGGTTTTTGATACTCCACCTAAAATAAAACACGTTTAGAGCTTTACAGTATTTAATATTTACACAGGCCCGAAGCTACGCAGCTGTCCAATATTATGCTAGGTAGCTAACGGTACCGTGGTATGGATGTTTTGAGCCAAGTTATTGTTGTGCAAACTGAAGGCTCTTTAAAATGTAACATTTAAATGTAGTATATTTTTTTTATTATGTAAAGGCATATACATTTTAATTAACTATAAAGAGACATAAATCTAGAATTTGTAACTGATATTCTGCCGTCTTGTTAAATACGTATTTTAATTAAATCCACGGTATTGTGCAGGAGTTGGGCGGTCCTCCTTTTAGCAATGCTAAGGTGGCTTATTTGTAAAGTGTTGCAAAAATAGTAACCCTGCAGATGTGAGTGTTTCCTTGGTTACTCGTCACGTAGCCAATGTCTTTGTTTACAAAGCATGGCCAAAGGCGCAGGCGGCATCCAGCCGAGCCCTGATGTGATGGAGTAGTCAGATAGCCAGACAAGTCTGCGATGGTTCAAAGACGACAAGGCGGATTATTATGTTACCTTCCATCATGCTCTCATCTTACCTCGGTGCATTTAAAACCCACTCCGTTGCTTTAGCTCCTTGTTGTTTACTGTGGCCACCATGCTTAGCTCTCGTTACTTTGCGACTTTCTAATACGCTGTTAAAATGAAGCCTAATGAGGTTTTGCATTAAAGTTAACGGTCTCGCTTCCTGGCACATCCTTTGTGTATTAGCAACTGTTCTGCAGATGCTGTCTCCTCCATCAGTGAGTCAGACTTAGAAAGAGCTGTTCTGACCTTCAGTTTGAAATCTGTTTAAAACAACAATGCATTTTTGCGTTTTTCTTTAGTTTCTGAACAGTGCAGACCACTACCCAGGAAAGTGGTTTTAAATAGTTATAGTTGGGTTTTTTTGCATTTCAAAAATCTGCCCGTTCCAGTGTTTGTATAATTCTCCAATGAGAGTTTTGTAAGTGTAGGGTGTGGTGCCCGTTTTCCTGTGATGACCTGTCAAAGTAAAGGACGGTCCTGTCTCTGCTGGTTTGTTGCTTTGCTTGATTGTCATACAAAACCCAATGAGACCTGCCTTGGATTTGGATTTGGGAAACACCCTGGTCTTTAATCTTCTGCTGAGCCTCAGTTGTTCTGGTGCCAGGTGTTTCACTGAGATCACATGTTCCTCTGCATGTCTGAGCCATCGCTGTAGTTTGTCAGACCTAAAACTGTCACCAGCAGAGCCCAGACCTATTTGACTAGAAACACATCGCCTGTGCCAGCAAACCTGCACCCATCGTCTGTGCCAGCAAACTTGCTCCCATCATTCTTTGTGACCCTGACTGAGCTACATTGACTGAGAACATGTTATGTGTACGGTCCAACTTATTCCTCTTAAATATATTTTAACAAAGCCAATTAAGAATTGAAATCTCGTGCTGGCATTACAGTGAGCTTAAAATAGTTGTTTTCAGGAGTGACTGGAGACACCTTTTCTGTCTCCTTTCTGGAGTACCTTCTGTGTAAACAAGAGATTTTTTCAGTCATCAACAAGTGACTACTTGGACCTATGATCCGCACTCGTTATTCCTGGAGTTGACGAAAGTCAACGAGAAGTCTGAGAACAACTGACCCATTTATTATTAACCAACGGGCTACATAAACTTTAGACAGAATAATTGTTTTTTTTAACAGAATGCTAAGTTACTAGACCGATGAATGGGACATCTCCAGTAAACACATTAAAAGAGTATAAGATATGATGAACGTTTTGTAATTTGGGGACTTTTTACAGCAATTTTGCTGCATAAATACAGGATATTTTGTAATTCCACCTTATTCTGTGGAAAACAAATGTACAGTTTTTATGACAGAACCTGTCCAGCAGCAGATTGTCTGCATTCAGACCGAGCGCGGTGTCCGCAGTGATTTCTGTCATCAAATAGGTGGAGCTTCAGCTGTGTGAAGCCGACACCCCAACCACGTGAAAAAAATTATTAGAATGAATGGTTTGTCCATCATTAGTGCAAGTTTAAGCAGGTAACATGATTTGTAAAAAAGAAAAAAAATGTAAATATAATAAGCTATGTGCTGCTGTTGTTTCAGTTTATTTTTTAGTTCATGCAGAGGTCAACTATCCCCCCATTAAGTTAAAATTGAATCTAAATTATCTAATTTTTCAGTACTACTTGATTTCTGCAGGTAAAACTGTCCAAATTCAGTTTTTTTTTAGATAGAATTCTTTTTAATTTCGGTCGATGACGTCACCATCCCAGCAGGCATTAGTGCTGCGATCGTCCCCTGATAGAAAGTTATTGCATTATATCACATGTCATTCCTGAATATAACAGTGGGTATGTTAACCTTATTTATTGGCTGGAATGATTGTTTGACATTTCGTAAATTTCCAGCCTCCTAGGTCTTTTAGTTTGGACCGTTACCCCTGGCAACCCCTTGTCATATCCTGTCATGGTGTCGGCAGTGACATTTCACATTAAAAGTACAGGTGAAAATTAAAATCACAGAACTGCTGCTAAATTGTTCTCTATGAAAAACTTTTGAATTTCCTTGGGGAGACCATCATTTTTTGGAAAAGCCCCAAAACCTCTAAAAGATCCACTTTGGTTCATCCAAAGCTTTGGATTTAGGAGGACTTCCTTCTAAATCTACCTCAGTAGGAAGCACCAACGCTGGGCAGGGACAGACCCCTGTCTGTGCTGGAGGTAAGGTAGGATGTTGGCTATAGATGTTTTTTTGATACTGGTTAGTTTCCAGTCTCATTTGGATAGAATGGATTCTGCCTAATGTTTTTAAATGAAGTATGTCCAGGGGGCTTTAGCTGCCCACATTCCTGTCTGGAAGTCCTGAGCCTGACACCAACTGTAAACAGAGCAGCCGTCTATCTTGTTAGATGCAGAGACCACATCACCTGCATGCATTTAATATAAGATGTGTTACCTAAGGATTATTCCATTTGGAGATCGACCAATGCAGATTTTCAAAGGCAGATCATCCTAACTGATCCCAACTATATGCAGCCAATATTTTTTGGCCGATTCTTGGTGAAAATATTACTTTTTTCCTGCAATTTATATTTAGAAATGACAAAAGAATAAGAAATGTTACACAAAGTTTTGATTAAAAACAAACATTACAAAATCCAAAGAAAACACCAACAACAGAAAATAAATGTAGGTAGAGGCAGGCATGGGCTTTACCAACAAAAATATCAGCCAGCCGATTTATTGGTTCAGCTCTAATTTCAGTAATCTAATATTGTATGTATCAGTATATTGATTAATATCAAGTAATTTACATCCACGATGGCAGCGCACCTTCATTCTCTGTATCCACTGTAGAGGAACCCGTTTATTAAGATGCTGAGGCCCCCTTAGTGTAACCACTCTGTTACTCTGGTAGTAGAGCGGCTCACCACGCTGATTGCTGCAATTCTAGTCAATCAGAGTGATTCCACTGAAAGCACTGTGCATGATGGGAAGAAAAGTTAGATGATTAGATAAAGAGCAGAAATGCAAGGCTCTGGTTAGCTGGGTTAGAACTGGTTGAATAAACACTTTATTGGTTAGTTGTTTTATTTAAAGCCTACAAGTTCACTGCTGTAGTGTGGTGATGCAATCCTGACGTGATCTCAGTAAAACTGTGCAGAAACTTCGTAATGAAAACATTCCTGGTTGAATATGGTGTCTGGCTCATAGCTGCTGGCTCCACATCCAGTGAAACCGAGCGGTAAGACAGAGCGCCTCATCCCCACTGGCTGCACAATAATACCTGTGAAATCACCTCTACTGTATTATAAACATTTGCAATAATGTGTATCCAGAACAGCAAAAAAATGTTTTTCTTGCTGTGAGACTGCATTATACTGTCATAAATGACCTACTGTTATTCATATATAACCCTTTAGAAAACTGTTTTTTTTTTATATATATATATTTTTAGTATTTCTATGTTTTTGGGTTGAAAAGGCCCTTTTTTTTTCTTTGCATATTCTCTTTTTCCAACTGTCTCTTCTTACCTGATGTGCTACTAAGAGCTGTTGTGACCAGTTTATGTCTCCTCTTTAGATATAAGACAAAACATTTCAACGTCAACATGTGAAAAGCCCAGGCTTTTGTTCTTGACCCAATATCAGGTCTATGCCAGCTGCCTCGCTACTTCAAATGGTTCCAAACAACGCGTTGCTCTCATTCTGCACTCTGGAATATTAAGAGGGCAATTTTCCAAATAGAAAATCACTTCTGTACTCTGCTTAAAAAACTGTTTACTCTTTTATTGCGAGTTTGCAAAAAAAAAAAAATTTGCATACACAAAACAAAACTAGAACAGAACTCCTCTACTGAACTGTGTACAGTTGTGATAGGTCTAAGCAGGTTTGTGCTGGAAGCTAGGCTGAACACGATGCGGTAAGGGCCAGACTAATCCAGTCCATGATCAGCACATACCTGGCAGGGGAAAGCATTTTCATCGCATAATTTCATTATATTGTAAATCAGTAAAACAGACCCTTTCAAAAAATAGCCTCCTAACTTTCGGGATTTTGTTTTTTTGGCTCATGCCATTGAAGTATTGGAATGAGAACCAAATCGGTGTCTGATGGTTCTTTAAGTTTGTAGTTCCCAAAGCTTTTGCCTCTAGCAGCAGATTAATTAATCTATTTTTGAAAGCAAGGATGAGTTTCAGTCAGATAGAGTTGAAGATGGGATGTAAACAGTGAACGACCTATTTAGGAATCACAGGCTGTCCCTCCTATCACACTTAGCTGCCACTTTTCACACATTTGTTGCATTTCTTCCACTCTGCAAATCATTTCTTTGTTTTTCCATTTTTATAGAGCAAGTTCAAACTACATTTTTGTCATTCCTTCTTTCTCAATAGCACCAGCAGACGCTACTAAACCAGCTGAGAGAGGTGACGGGCACCACAGACATTCAGCTGCTTCAGCAGGCCCTGCAGGTACAGCCTCAAACAGAGGCCCACTCTCTACTTTATATTGACTCGCACACCAGTTTTCCTGAAAAGTCTGGACCCTATTTATATAAGGCTGTGTGTGAAATATCGTCCTACCCATAGTTTGTAATCAAAACAACACACACCCCTCCTTAGAAAAAAGCCCTGCATGGTGTAGCTGGTTAAACATAAAATGTGTGAAATGACCTTTGTTTTCTAACACTGTGTTGATGTTCCACTTTGCTTCTGCTGCAGGTGAGCAATGGAGATTTGGCTGAAGCCGTAGCTTTTTTAACAGAGAAGAACGCTAAGGTTCCCCAGCAAGATGAAACTACCTACTACCAGACATCCCAGGTGGCCAGTGACAGATATATCAGTGTTGGCAGCCAGGCAGACACAAGTGAGCAAATGACCTCAAAATGGGGTGGATAATACTGTGATCACTGGAAGTAAATGTTTGGCAGATCATCAAGTGTATAATGGCTTATTTTGTCGTTGCTGCTCCAGATGTTATTGACCTGACAGGGGATGATAAAGATGACCTGCAAAGGGCGATCGCCCTCAGCCTGGAGGAGTCCAACCGGGCGTTCAGGGAGACGGGGATCACTGATGAGGAGCAGGCCATCAGCAGGTGAGCTCAGAGGGAACGTTTTCAAAATGAGGTTCATCAAATTAATTAATTGAAAAAATAATCTTCAGATTAATCAATTTACAAAATAATCTTTAGTTGCAGCCCTACCCCAGTAAAAGATGTGATTACTAAATTAGCTGATTATTAGTTAAATAATTGATCTCATCCTTTATCTGATTAGTTTTTTTTCAGTCTCAGTAACACTTTATGTTCAGTTTTTAAGTCTTTTTTTCTGGCTTTTCTCTTTCTTTTTTTTTAGAGTTTTGGAGGCCAGTATAGCAGAGAACAAGGCGAGCCTAAAGCGTACTCACACAGAAGTATGGAGCGATTCACCGAACCCTCATGACAGAAAGAGGAAAGACAACTGCCCAGTGGGTCTAAAAAATGTTGGCAATACCTGCTGGTTCAGTGCTGTCATACAGGTGAGCACAGACAGTTTTGGTCCCGATGCCATATTAGGACATCCATAGACTGCAGTGTCATATCCGATTGCCATTTTCAATTCAATTTTAGTTCAGTTTATTTATATTGCGCCAAGTCACAACACGTCATCTTAAGGCACTTTACAATTCAACCAGATCATACAGTCAAATTGATTCAAATTGAACCATATTATCCCAACTGGGAGGTATTCACCTCAGGCTTTTAGCTAGGAATATTTCATTGGGTGTTCCCATTGGTATATCACATTTTTAGGCTTTGCTTGGCATAGGGGGGTCCTGAGGTATCCTCCCCCAGAAAATGTTGAAATTTAGACTCTGAAACACTATTACCTGCATTTTCCAACACTACTGCTTTCCTGATTATGGGAAGTGTGTGCTTGACTAGAGGGGGAAATTTCATAAGGAAGACGTTAGAGCTGCCACTAACAAGTAATATTTCCACTAATTTTGCAATTACGAATAATCCTAACGACTAATAAAAAATTAAAAATTCCCTCTGTTGGGGGTTGGCAGAGTAGCCACTGGATGGTGACACCAAGTTGAAAATAGTGACATTCGTACTGTGTGCGTACTCATACGATTAAACTTCTGCTTCAGTTTGGTGCCGACTTGAAGGCACAAAGACTACTATAATTGCGCGTGCATAGCGTTGTTAAACTGGGTACTTCCAATCTTCTGAGATAACAAGCGCACTGCTCTGACCACTAGGCCAACACTCCCCATGTAAATAAATTTATCACTCTTTCCATTTCGGTCATCTACTTTCAGCTCTCTCATGAAAAACTAAACTTGACAAATGTGGATGGAAACACAGACTTCAGACTTATGCTGGGTCACGTGTGTGAACACGTACGCTCCATTCAGTAGATGGACAGCACAGCCACTGAAGGCATTAGTTGACATCATAGGAAGGTTTGAAAGGATTTACAACGGGCTCTGATATTTTAGTCCAAGCTAAAGGTGGCCAGAATAATTTTGTCCTTCCCTATAAAATTCAACATCGTCTGCTACGGCGGCCACTGGGTCAGTCGGCTGTTCTGCGGTTTACGCTGGAGCTATAATCGGCCCCTCCCCATAGGAGTGCAGTGAATGGGCAAAGATGTTAAAAAGGAAATGAGACAGATGGGTGGAGCAGAGGACGTGAATAAGGAACAATTTCAAATAGTTTTAGAGATCCTCTGTATTGAAGTCGGGTCATGCCAGTTATTAAATTGTTAAGAATCCAGGGAAGCTTAGTCATAGGTCATTTGCTGCTGTGGTAGAATGTGACCCGAGCTGAAATATGCCAAATGAACATTGGATACACCCTCACATGATGCTTGGCTTTTCTCTGTAATGTTATCCATACAGCTAAGAAGACTGCCTGCTTAACCCTGCTCAGTTTGAAGTAAACAACTTCATCTTTTATAGAAGGAAAAAAGGTCCCTGTGTTCCTAAGACATACATTCCTTTCCTGTAATAAAACACTCATTTGGCTCGAGCTACAAGCGGCTCTAATTATCAAGTTGAAACTCCAAAATGTGGGACGTGTTAGATCCAGTAAAAAACACTTAGGTTTCACCATCTCTTTGCCACTTGTTTTATTTTCATTGATGCACAGGTAGTCATGCTTTAAGCTAAACTTTCCGTAACTTAGTGCAACTTGGTTAAGTTGGACACAGCGTGAAAATGGAAAATAACACTTTATGAGGTGAAGAACAAAGGAAATCTGTATAGTGAAATAAACTTAACCTGCACTGAAACACAAAAAAGACATCTGGCCACCTGCTGAATGTGGGACTAAATTGTTATAAAAGCAGAGACGTTAGCTAGGGTTGGGCAGTGAATGTATTTTATTATATAAATAAAATACAAAAAAATAAAACTGAATTTTCACATAGCAGAAGCATTTGAATTTGGTCCCACTACATTTAACAGGAGTAGGACATCAGCTGCATTTCCATTAACTAATTAAGAAAATATATTTGCTAAAAGAAGCTGCCATTTTTAAATCACAAATTTTTCCATAAAAAGTAATTTATCAATGGGGTGTTTTTTTTTTCTAGATTGATCAAAATTTTTATATGTTGCAAAATTGCAACGGTAATCCTTGTTTTAGCATCACATGAGTCACGTGATATGTAACTAGACCTTACGGTCTTGTAAAAAGATGAAGAAGAGGACTGGAATTTCCATGTTGTTTTCAGAGTTATCGTGTGAACAAATGTATTAATGTGGAATTTTAATTGGTTTTTCTATTTAATGGATTTGGAGCAATCTCAAAACTTTGCATTTTCGAATTTAGCAGAATATTGACTTTGTTTTGCCACAGACTTTATTACTCCAGCCCTTAAGGTGGTGCCTAGCAAAAGGGGAAGCATAAGATAAAGTTAGCTAGATCAATACATGTGAGTGCTCCCAACTACTGAAGTTTTTAGCCAGTCATGGTAACCAAATAAATAACAGTAGATGACATGAGAAACCACAGAAACATATGCTTTTACTCTCATGCTCTTCCTCTCTCAAAAAGGAAATTGTGGATTCTGATTAATCAGATGTGAGAGCAGCAGCTTTGCACGTTTCCCCCTCACTGCTGTGTTTATTTTGCTCCGGCTCTGGTTTTGGCACCTCTTGCTTCGGTCACAGCTCTGTGTCCTGCCCTAAAACATTATACTGCAACCTGATTGGTGGATCCATTTCGGGTCATACTGCTACAATTTGAGCTGGAGAATACACAAGGCATTCTAGAGTGCTTTAAAGTCACCAATACCACAAGATTTTATCATGCAGGGAAAGTTATAACTGTAAAGGATGGCCACAATGAACTATGGACAAGAAAACTTCTGAGTCCATAATAGAAGACCTTGAGTGAAACCTCTACATGCTGGTTATTAGTTAAAAGAAAAATCAAGTCTCCATAAGGTCATTTTGTCAAAGCTCTTTTCTACGAGGCTCTTGTTTACATTGAAGCCATCTTTTGCTCAACAAATGAAGCCAACAAGCATTACATCTCAGTTTTAAAGCCCATAATATGTCGTGGAGTCCTTCTAATATGACTTTATTTTTCCCCCCTCTCCAGTCACTGTTCAACTTGCTGGAGTTCCAGAGGCTAGTTCTTAACTACTCGCCACCCGCCAGAGTCCTGGATCTGCCTCGTAACCAGAAGGTGAGTTGAAATGTGGAAGTAAAGCTGTTATAACCTCAGTTTGAGCTGTCCTCTACTTTTTGTTATGATGCATCCTGCTTTTATCCAATATACCGTTATTATTCGGCCAAAGGTCCACAGATGCCATAAATACTCCTACAAGCAGCTTAACTTCATATAGATGCTCATGAGCTACTCAACATGTTATTGTGTAAATAGAGTACAACAGGGCCCCTGTATATGACACACAAGGGCTTTTTATTTCTCTGTGTGTGTGGTTTGATTTCCGCATGCGCAATCTACATCCTTCCTGTTTCTGTACGCTCCTGTCAACTTCTGTCACTTTAAAGGTATCACCCATAGGACAAAGTAACCGGCCTGTGATCGGCTACTTTTCAGGAAATCCAACATTTCTAGTGTGACGCATTGCCAAGGTGACCAGAGTCAAAGAGTGTGTTCAATTTCAGAGGCTGCGTCCTCCAAGGACCTGGTCCAACTGGACTAAGTCCTCAGAGGTCCGTGAAATTAAAGAGACTGGAAGAGTTTACCAATGGATTCAAACAGGTCCAGCCTTCTCCTACTGTCACCACCCCTCACTTAACGTATGCACTGTCGCCTAGCAACCATGACAGTTGACACAAAAAGCAGGCAACGAATGGATGCTGAAATTGTCACTGCTGTTCTGGGGGCTAGTGACATTTTCGAGGAGCCTCGGTAGCAGCACCGTCATCTCAGATATCAGATGTTTAGTCTCCACACTGTAGCGATATTAGAATCTGGGCTTAAATGTCAGCCAAACCCACTTACACAGGGACAGATAAAAACCTTTCAATAAACCAAACATTACCCACCACATATCTTACTTAATAGCTAGTGGTGGACTTTAGTTTAGTTTGTGCCTTCAACTCGTTACCCATAGGAAGACGTTACTTGGATTACAAAACCGAATATCTTCATAACAGCTCCAAATGACACAAAACTCAAATGGGTGAGTAGAACATGATGTAATAACATAAAATCAAGGGCCCAATGTAAAAAACAAAAAAAACCCACAAAAAAAAACGGTGTTCCCCTTTAAATAACATCCTGCTGTCATTTTGCACATCTCTGATGTTGCTACAATTTTCAAATATCCATTACTGTAAAAATGTCCATAGCTGTATACTGGTTATTTATTCTCCAGGTGCACAGCTTTATATTGTTAAAACCTGTCCTACAAAATGGGAAAAAAGAAGACTGCATTTGTCTGACACATGATGAGGAGTCTTCCAATCCGAATAAGCCTCAGCGCCGCTCTATGACGTAATCAGCCTACGAATCTTTGAAGGCTCAGCTGCTGGATACAAACACACCAAACTATCTTCCTGTTTCCAGCTAACTTTTTAGAAATAGCTGAAATAGCTTTGCTAGTAGGAGCACAGTGTCAACAGGCAGGAAAGTGGCCAATCACCGGCAGGTTGCTTTGTCTGGTTGGTAACACTTTAAAGTGTCAAAAGTTGACCTGAGCGCACAGAAATGAGTCCACACGCCCCGTGGTTCTCTATTTACACATGTAGCATACTGAACATACATGTGAGGAGGGTTCACGAGTGCTGCATGAAGCAAAGCTGCTTGTAGGAGTGTTTATTGCCTGGACCTTTTGCAGAATAATGATGCCATCTAGCAATCGTTATGTAGGTGGCAGTGGTGAAGCTTTATGGTTCAGCTTTAAGAACACTGCTTATGTGAACTGCTGCATGGCTACTGAGAGATGATAGATCACTATCTTATAGTAGCGTGTTCATGATAGAAGAGATGCTCTATTAGAACTATTCTAACCAGATCCTGAGTCAGTTGATGCTGAGTGTGTTTCAGCTCCATTTTAACTCCCCTATCGGATCAGCAGCTAATCTAATCCTCTGCTCTGAGTGTGATTTGAAGCTGACCTCTCATCCTATCAGCTTTCGCTCTGATCTCGATGCTTTACTTGCATGTGAGATGGATGGAGATTAGATACTTGGCCATCACTGCCACTTTTCAAATGTTAGACTTTCAGTTTTAGTGCCCGTTTATGTTTACCTTAAACATAAACATAAAGTACTCAAATAATCTGCTTTATTTTTAGCAGCATTTAAGCCATGATATATTAACTAAAATAGACTTGTTGCACCAGGCAATGTAAATCTACTGCTGCATTCCTAGGTGTGATTTTGTTCACTTTCGGCGCCGTTCTGAAACGGCTGAAAACAATGCCGCAGTTTTACACCTGCTATCTTCAGGACCTGCTTAAAGTGTCTATTAACAATGCTCTACGCTTGATCGGGGCTTTATATTCCCACCACACAAAAATGGATCAATGAACTTTCCTGATCGATCATGCAGCCTCCTCCATCGTTTTACTGCAGGTTTCCTTCTACCTGATGGTTTAAGCCTTTCAAAGTGTCAAACTATGTGGGAAGTAGCACCGCAGTCATGAGTCTCTCCAATATCAACATATTGAAAAGATCACAAGATGATTAAATGATTAAAAGCATTAAAAATAATTAAAAAGCGCTTTTTTTTTGCTTTCATTTTTAGTCAATAATTATCTTCAGTTTAATATTCATGCATTTATTGCTGCTTGTTTTGCAACTAGGAGCACAGAAATCTGCCCTTCATGCAAGAACTGAGGAACCTGTTCTCCCTCATGGTGGGGTCCAAGAGGAAATACGTGGATCCGTCACGGGCTGTGGAGATCCTCAAAGACGCCTTCAAATCCAGTGAGTCACAGCAGGTAAGCCTCTTTCTGCAACAACCTGCTCTCAATACCAACATGTTCAGCTGCCAGGTCAGAGATCATGCTCTAAATGCTGGTAGTGTTCTCTGTCGATGAAAGTATGATACGACACGTTTTAAACCCACTTGACCGAGCCAATTTCAGATTTAAGATCCTGAGCTGCCTATGAAACCAGTTCTGAGGTTTTCTTTATGTTTTTTTTTTCATTTCTCATTTTGCTGCTGTGGTTTAGAAAACTCCCTCACATTTTTTACATATAACTAAACACTAGTACACCTTTTATTCTGATACCCCTAAATGCACTAATTCCATTAAAGTCATAGGGAAGTCATATTTACATTTCAAATAATTTTGGCTTAAACATGTATATAAATGTACTCTTTATCAGACCATATTGTCCCAAAAGTTAGAACATTTCTATTTTTAAAAGCATCCTGTCTTAAAATCTGTGTTTTTTTCCCCGTTATTTCATGTAGGCCAGTTAGTTATACGTCAGCCTAAACACCTAAATTCAGCCAATCATATATCAACCGTCATCTGTCAATCAATTTTTTTAGGTCATAGCATCTTGATTCATATGTCGCAGCTAATATACGCAACCGTTTAAATAAAAAATAAGTATCATTGACTTCAGTTGTGTCCCAGTGTTCACGGGGATGGACGTCAGTGTCTTCGGCAGGCGTAGAGCTGACAGAACTGGCAGCGTTGCGAGGCAAGGGCTCAAACATGTACGTCTGTAATCCTTCTACACCAAATGCAGCTTCTGACGCCCTGTCGTCCTCTTCCACAACAACTTCGCCCCTGCTTTCTTCTTCTAAATAGAAAAATGTATGACTCGTCCAAGACCTCCGACACAAAACTCCTCCTCTTGCATGTTTCCGCTGTCCATAGCGTTCCTTGACAGTGTTGTTATTTCCCATTAGGAACCTACTAGCACTAAGTTGCTAACCGGTTAGCAACTGAGGCACTAGCCACAACCAAAATATGCTTGCAAACCTTCCGCCACATCAATCCCGCCCCATTGATAATGCACCAATCACATTCACTTTATTCAGTTGTGTTAAGTCAGGCTCCACTCAGGACAATTTAGAACTTCAACCGTTGGAACAGCCACTTCCCTACAACTTTAAATATACTCATATTAAGCCATTTTAGCTCAAATATCTCATCCCACCTTAAAAAAAAGCTCAATATAAATATTTCTGTCAAGATAGTGAAAATGTTCAAACTAACGATATTTATCCAAGCTGATCCTATTCATAATGCCATGCAGTCAGGATTAGTTAACTCTTGCAGTTATAATTGTTCGTGGAGTTATTGACTTTACAGGAAACCCTCGTCCTGCATCGCCATGCGGTGACAGTTGAATGGAACAACTGCTATCACTGCTGCTCCCATCAGGAAAAAGACAATCATTTTGCTTTACAGATTAATCTCTGTTTCCCACATCTCTCCCTGTGAACTCTGCATCTTTAGAGAGCTTTACTTGTTAAATTTGACAAACATGTAAAATGTGCAGTACTTTTGCAGAGACTGAGGTCGGCCTTCTGGCCTCTGCTCAGCAGCCCCGTCTCTCCCCTTTGCATTAGCCAGGTTAGAGAAGCCCTGACCCCAATTACCAAGTGTTACTGAAGAGAGAACGGACTCAGTAAATGATCTGTGTAGTTCCCTAGTCTGTAAACTGAATGTCAGAGACCAAAGATCTGATGTATCGTTCGTTATTAAATCACTGAAACGACACTAGATTAATTTTATCTTAAATTTGCTTTTATCTTTAGTTGCCGGGATGTTTTGTAGTCGGGGCCTGCATGTTGTACAGGTAATACTGTAAGTGTTTACCCATGTCTGTGTTTAACAGCAGGATGTGAGCGAGTTTACCCACAAGCTGTTGGACTGGCTGGAGGACGCCTTCCAGATGAAGGCTGAAGAAGACAGGTAACCGGCCCTCACTATGTGGGATGATGATCTTAAAGAATGTTCTACCTGGATGGACTAAAACCATTCAAAAGCAAAATTTAATTATTGTTTTTTTTGTTCTGTAATCAGGATTTGATTGGGGGGGGACTCTGGAAAGTACCACATGAAGTGGTGAAGTTTTTTTTTGACAGATTACGGTCTATAAAACATGATTTATATTTACATTCAACCAACATTACACCAGTAACAGTGCAGGAAAACAAACTGCCTTAAAAATCACCTAATTAGTTAATACAGCCTCTGAGATGAGAGGTGCTCTGGTTTAACACTAACTTAATTGTAGGCTAACCCTAAAAACATCTCCTTCCCATGAAACATGGCAGCATCTTTCCCAGCAGGGTAAGATAAGCTGGTCATGGTTGATGAGAAGATGAACCAGGTTAAAAACAGGCAGTCCTGGTATCCTTGTTACTCTAGAATGGTTTAGATGAAGCCTATTTTCAAAGAGACTCCCCCCTAAGGTTTAGGTTTAACGCAGTAGACAAGTTTCTGCACTGTGGGACTAAAATATAAATGTAAACAACATCAGCCAAAAAAAAATCTTACGTGGGAACTGAATTTAATTACTTATGTTTAAAAGAAAAAACTCCCAAATAGTGAGATATCATCACTCTGATGGATTAGCAGCAGAAGATTTTTGGATGGAAAAAATGAATAAATTCTGAGCTGATCGTCAGCATAATTTGTACACAACAAAAAACGCCTTCTAAAAAAAATAAGAAAAAATATAGTGTTTTATGTGAATTATTGCTTATTTTGAGCAAAATAATCTGCCAGTGCTAGCCTGACGTAGTCCGACTCAATTCTAGTCAGAATATGAGTCTGATACTGCTCCATAGAGCTGTGATTATGGGGCGTGTTTTGAACGAACCAGGAAAAAAAAGGCCTCTGCACTCAATTGGATAGACCTACAACCAATAATAGCAACGGAGTGCGTGACGTATGTTAAGCGAGGCATAGTTGTTGTCAACAAAAATCAAAGCGTGCAGTTTCACGCCTAGAATAAGAAGATGAGCCTTGATCGCGTTTCTCTGATCCTCTTTTAAAATGTATTTGCTGTCGATATCTTCTAGAACAGACCTAATAGCAGAATCTACTCACCCAAACTCTCCAGCGGCAGCCATTATTGTTGTCACCCAATCGGCTTTGGTCACGTGGTTGATAACGTTACTCTTGATCATCTGTCCATCATCGTATAAAGCCCGCCCTGACAATTTGATTGGATCGCCTGACAGTGGGCTTTAATACTCGCGCTACTATGGAGCAGAGCCAGACCGAACTTCCCCGAACTCAAACCTTGTGGGCGGGACTAAGTTCGGACTGGCACCCAGGCTATGCCAGTGCAGCAAGCAAATGAGACTTGGTAAGATTTCTTAAAATAAGAACATAATATCCAAGTAGTCAGCATCCAAAAAAACTTAAATCAAATATAAAAATCTATTTTTTCTTTTACTCGTTAAGATTTTTTTCCTCTTATTTTAAGCAATGTATTCTCATTTATTAGTCATTATTGCTTAGAATTAAAAAACCTCTAACCAATGATTGCTCAAAACCAGCATACAACAGGCTTAAAAAAAAGGTAAATATACTTGATACCAGTTCATTTAAAGGCTTAAATCTAGTCTGTTTTTCTTAGCTAGAATTAATTGCATTATTTAGGTGTAGTGAATGTATGGAAAAAAATACACTTGACAAAAACTTTTTTTTAATTAATATTTTAGCAGAAATGTCACAGAATTAAGTGAAATACACCCCCCACCCCTCCAAAAAAAACACAAAGCCTTCGCACGCGGATGACATCATACACGTGCCGATTTGTTTTCAAAAGATAAAAATATAACCGTGGATGTCTGGGGGACAGTGATTCGCCTACGTTATGAATGCTGGAGTACCATAAAGAATAAATTATAAACAGTTTAGTTTCTGCTTCTAGTCGTTGCCCATAGGAAGGCGTTACTTGGATATAACCTAACGGAATATCTTCAGAACGGCTCCAAATGACACAAAACTTATAGAACATGATGTAATAACGTAAAATTAAGGGCCAAATGTAAAAAAAAAAAAACAGCGTTCCCTTTTAAGGCAGAGCTTCTATTATAATAAGCATATGTATGATGCACAGTTGTTATGATGTATTGTAAACAGTAAATGGTCCACAGGTGAGGTTCAGAATCTCAAAGCTAAACCATGAATGACAATCTCAATAACCCTATATATTTGAATGCAATCAGATTTGATTAGCTCTAATATCTTAATGAGATGGTGTCAGTTCTTAAAATAGGTTAATATGGATTGTCTTATTGTCTTGAAACAAGTAAAAATGTTCTCACAGTCTAAATGTTAACACGACTCAGTCCGCAATGTGTGCTATTTTAAGAAAAAAGCTGCTCAAAATTAGTTTTATTATCTAGTTAGGATAAAAAAGGTACATTTTCTTAAAACAAATCAGATAATCTTAACAATATTCAGTCTTACTAAGAAAATACATTGAAAAACAAGTGTAATAAGACAAAAATGCTGAATTCAAGTTTATTACACTTGTATAGATTTTCCTTTTTTGCAGTGTATAGTCACTGTAAAATTGTGGGTGGAAACTGTTTTTAAATCAATTCTAAAAACAGCAGAAGATGCAAATATGAACAAGTTGACACAAAGGTTGAGATTTTGATGAGAGAACATCAGTGTTGAATAGTTAAAAGCTCTGAACTCACTGGTTTAAATAAGAAACCCTAATGCTGAGGCTTGGTGTAAAAATGAAGTCTGTCTTGTATTTTATGAAATGAAATTATTTTGCAGTGTGGGAGAGAAGCCAAAGAATCCAATGGTGGAGCTTTTCTATGGCCGCTTCCTTGCTGTTGGTGTGTTAGAAGGTGAGATAAAGTATTTAATTTACAAAAATGAAGCGTAAATCTGACTTGGTGCTAAAGCATCCCAGATAAATTTAGCTTTGGTTGGCTCTGCTCTGATGTCAGCATCCACAAAGCAAGTGAGTCCTTGCCCCCAGTAATGAAAGGTGACTTTGTTCTAATGAGATGGGCTCCATGTAAAACAGCAGAGCAGTTACATTGATTGTGAGAGACCTTGATGGCTGATTGACATTGTATTTATTATGCACCAAAATACTGGCTCAGAGCCACCTAAAGCTGGACTCTGCTGCTCATAAAATGTTCTTTAATGCCTCATCTGTGTGTGTTGGACCAGGGACCATCATTAGGGGTTGGTGTTGAGACCTTAATGCAGATTTTTAAATAGTCCAGAAAAAGTGACAGCGGAACTATATAAATGACCATGAGTGGAATCATACTACTTTAAAAGAGTGATGTGTTTTAATACAAAGGAAATGGAATCCTGACAGCCTGTGTGCCACAACCTGTCATTTCAAACTCTATGAAATGTGAAAGTCAAATGACTATTAACTCTTTATTATGTGTTAGAATGAGAATAAACTGAATAAACAGAATCAAGATGTTAGTGTGCACACATAAAAATATTATAATATTTGAACTTTATTAATCTCGCACTGGAGAAATTCACCTCTGCATTTAACCCATCTCCTTAGGTAGCAGTGGGCTGCCATTGTTTGGTGCCCGGGGAGCAGTGTGAGGTTAAGCGTCTTGCTCTGGGACCCATAGTGAAGTCCATGGGAGTGGGGCTTGAACCTAGAACCTCTGGATTCCAGGCACAAAGCGGTTTTCATGTTAGTAATCCAAACTGCAGGCACCAGGATAATAAAAGCAACATGTTTTGCTGACAGATTTCGGCATTTTAAGTTAATTTAGGCGTTATTAAATTGTTTCAGAGGAGTGATCATAGTGATCTGTATCATCAGCAGTGCTGTGTCTTTCTACCTGCCAGCTCCCAGATCACCTTCTCTGATTCATTTGATGTGGCGCATCAAGCACCAAAAGTTCAATTTTTCCAACTCAAGCAGCAGCTGCGTTTGCGGCTCAAGACGTGCTGCAGGACGTTTTGCTGCGCCTTGACGCGCGTCAACCATTGACTTTGCATGTAAACTAGCTGCTCTTGCTGCTTTTGGTGTGAACGTAGCATAACAGTTGTCTAGCAGTGTCCCTGTATAAACAGGCTGCAGCAGCAAATAGAGACATCCCAGGAGCTCCGAATAGAATCAGCTCAGGCTAACAACAGGAGGAGAAAGATTTCAGAGGTTTTATTAGACTTGGATTTAGGGATTCATTTATAAAAGTTGAAGGTGTGTTAAGCTCATGGAGAAACAGCCATGTTCTTTGGAATTGAATAATGCATTTAAAATATTAGTGATAACATAAAAATAGGACCATTTATATGTTTGATCTTTGTTTTAAAACAGATAATTTGTTTATTATTTCGATTTAATCTTGTTTTAGCAGTGGCTCTGATTCATATGACATTGGCTAGATTTTATCTTTTTGTCTCCTAGTAACCTCTTTTTTGTGTATAGCTTTGAAATTTAAACAGACTGAACTATTTAAGTAAATGATGTGGCGTAGATTCATGTTATAAGGAAAAGTGTGGGCAGCGATTAACCCTCTGTCTATATCAAGGATTAAGCAGCTTCTAATCTTATAGGTTTAATGGACCAAAGAAAATTGCTCTCTGAAAAGTCAGAATTTTTTTTCCAGAAATTTCTAAGACCACATGATGTGATTACAGAACATTTTAATGGAATCAGGCAAAACCCTCCTGATTAATTATCCAAGATTTAGGACCATCTGAAATGCTCCAGGGAACCAGCATGCTGAGCATGTTTGGTGGACGGGTTGGCGGAAGTTATTTTCTTTTGAATGTTTTTCAATGGCCACACATTTCTAAATCCAAACTGTCTAATGGATTAAATAATATCTGTATTCAGCCCTAAACAATCACTGGAGCTGAACTTTGAGTGATTGGAATTTTTCTTCATTTAGAAAGTTGTTCTAGATCTGCACCCCCTGCACATCTGTTTTAGTTCCACCCCTCTTGAAACGGACCCTTTATGTGGCAGTATCTACCTATATGAACCATGTTATCATTGTTTGGTAGCAGGGGCCCCTGATTTTGATATTTTGCTCGAGAGTTCTGATTTATTTTGGCACATAGAGAAAACAACAATAAATTCAGGATTTTGTCTCGATCTAATCTTAATGCTAAGTTAACATGAAAGTTATAATCATAATTGTTTCATATCTTAACTCAGTTTTTTTTTCTGCTGTTTGGGATTACACAGGTAAAAAATTTGAAAACACAGAGATGTTTGGTCAGTACCCCCTGCAGGTGAACGGCTTCAAGGACCTCCATGAATGTCTGGAAGCAGCGATGGTGGAGGGGGAGATCGAGTCACTTCACTCGGCTGAAAACTCAGCCAGATCTGGTCAAGAGGTAAGCGATGAAATGAGGTGTGAATACTTCTTCCTGCTGATCTGAACACTGAATTTGACTCGTTGGGTGCATCCTTTTTTGTCTCCTTTAAAGCGTTGTGAGCAGGTTTTGGTGTCAGTTAAAAGCTAAAATGCGCGCCGTTATAATTATTTGTTAAAATTGTTGTTTTAGTGAGATTTTTTGCAACATATCTTCATTCTTATTCTTTCATTCTTATTCTAATTCTTAATCAACTTTATGAAAGAAGATATATCAGTTTGTTTTTTAAGCATAGGAAATGTTTTATTCCAGGAAAACATTAGTTCTATATTTAGGAATCAGAACTGGAGTTTCTGAGTTAAGTTTATCCTCTCTGGAAATGAACAATAGTAGTTGGTGAAAATACACGTCTGAAGAACTTTGTCAGATTGCTTCTCTGGAACTCTGGCTTTTTTGTGACACTTGCTCTATTTTGGATTTGCCCTCTGCTTTGCTGTAGCCTTCACTTCGCTGTCCCAGAGCAGCTGGCAGCAGCTAATTATCAGGTCCAGGTACAGCTGGAGTGCGTAGAGACAAATCCTCTGGCATCACCTAGGATCAAGGTGTTGGTGAAACATTAAACATTAGAGAAATGTAAATCACTAAAAGTGATGTTTTAATGCAGAGAGATGTTCGGCAAAGTGCATCTGGAGAATATGCCTTCATTATTAAATAGGACCTTTCTGTTCCAACACTGAGAAACAAGTAGAACCTGTAAGCAAGGCTGATGCAATGCATCATTGCTGCCTTAGAAAGTACTGAGCAAAGCTGATGGGTTCATCAATGTTTTTTCAAACAGGGTGTCATCAGCCGCCCTGACAGGCAGCCCTTGATTAGTCAGCAGCATCAACACAGTATACCAAACAGCCCAACTACACTGTAAACCCGGATAAGTAGAATGTACTTAAAAAAATCAAGGTAACTCGTTGCCTTAAAAAATTTAAGTAATGTGGTATTAGTTGTATGAGTGAAGTAAACTATGTTAAATGTACTTGAGCCCCTAATGGATTGGAATAGAATATTTAAGTTGTATTTACTGGTAATCAAGTTGTAGTAACTGACGATATGTAGTTGGAGCAACAGCTTAACACCTGTCAATTAAACTTAGCTTGTTAAGTAGGCATTACTGCATTTTAGTTCAATTAAATTGTGTATTCAAATTTACCAAACTTATATTTTTTAGTTCACAAAACTCAAAACGTGTTAAATTAATAGAGCTGTACAAAATACATTCCACTTCAACGTTTTATTGTTTTCATTGAACATTTTATTTGTATCAACAAATGAAAAATCAAAGCCCAAAAGATTTTACATGAGCATATTCCTCAGTGATTACAAAGCAAAAAGCTCACTCATCTCCAATCGTTATAAAATTGTGCTGTGGCTCTATAAATGTGACTGAGATACAGGCAAGATAAACTGAGGCCCTGCTAAACTCTGGCATCTTAAAAATTAGAAATAAATTTGTCTAAGAAGAAACCAAAAAGGGGTTGAGACTGAAAAAATAAAGAACAGGAGGGTAAAGGACAACAAAGAGCAGGTACCAGCCATACTCTTCCTTTCAACCTTAACACCTTCTCAAACCCCACTTTCCATTTTGGCATTTGTGAACTTAACCGAAATATTTTTCAAGATAGCACAACTGATACAGAGAAAGGATGACAAGTTAAACTAGCAGAAGATGGTCATCTAGAACCCACTCTCTCCTCTCACCCTCTCTGTCCCTTCTCATGACCCGTTTGCTTTCTCTATCCCCATATCTTTTTTTGTCTTTCACTTTATCCCCCCCCCCACCTCTCCTCATTTCTATACATTCTCTATTTTAAAACTTGAAATTAACCAATGACCACATTTGTAATTTATTTTTTCTTCTTTTAAGGAAAATTTAACGTAAATTATTTAACTGCAAATTAATCAAAACATAAAACAACATTTAACAAGTTGGGGAGAGGAGATCTTGGATCTTACATGGCAAGCTGATTTTTAAGTGTTTGAAGTATAGGCTTCAGATCTGTCTTACCCAAGTTAAGAAGTACCTGCTGAAAAAAATCAAAGGTGTTCTTCATGTACTTTGGGTAGCTGAGATGGAGTGCATAGGTAAGTCCAAAGACTGTGTACATGGCCTGCGGAAGGCTCTCAACTTCCATCACTACATTTCCCTCCAGGATGATTCCCACTGAGGATACATTATGGAGAATGGACTGCTTGTGTGGAGTTATATTTTCTTGTTCATTGCAGAGGACCCCCACAGGAACATTGTTGTGCAAACTTTCTTCATCATTGTCCTGAAAGAAATAACAGTACATGACTTTGTTAACATCTTGCAGTCAACAGCCTTTACAGTTATGCAGCCCACATGTCTGACCTGTCAAGTGTTCACCCCCTGCCTAGTTCAGAAATTAGTGCAAAAGGAGTTAAAAAATTATAAGAGGCACATGATACAGTTTTGGATGGTGCCTTTTTATGTATGCATACAAATCACATCAACATAAATTAAAAAGAACCAGTGAAACAATCATTTCCTTGAACAATATACCTAAGAGAGGGAAAGCTGGAGATGCAGAGAGGACAGGTTATGGTATTATTCTGGCCTGTTGTGTTTGCCTTTGTTAACATTCCACTCTGTTTCCTGCACCAATTGATAATTTTCCCCACCAGGGACGACCCTGATCATTCCCAATCAGTTCTCATACCCACCTAGAAGCTCAATGGCAGACTAAAGCTGGCTTCACACATACCACTTTACGTGTCACTTTGTCATCCATCGCAGAAACTTGCCATGCAGTAGTTCCCACTTGATGTGTGCAGGATGTCCTGCACATTGACTCTTAGTTTTCAATTTAATGTAACCACTTTTCTCTTGAATCCCTGTTTAGCTAATTTGGTAGTTAGAAACTAAAAAATTTTGCTCCACCATCCATCGTAAACAGACTCAATACCAGTATCTGATGGAGGAGCTGGCTGTCATGCTGCAGTGCAACAGTGTCGGTAGGAATTACCACAATAACTAGAAAGGCTTCTATTTGTGATGGAATGGAGGGTACACTGCAAAAAAAATCCAGAAATAAGTACAAAATTCTTAAATTAAGTATATTTACCCTTAATTTGAGCAGGTAAATAAGATGATCTGCCAATGGAATGAGTATTTTTACTCTTAAAATAAGATAGTTAGATAATATTTACTTGAAATAAGACGATAAAATAGTTTTTTCTTATTTTAAAAGGAAATTGTCTTGTTCCATTGGCAAAGTGTCTTACTTACCTCCTCAATTCAAGGAAAAACGCACTTATTTTAAGAAAAAATTACTTATTGAGATTTCTATTTTTTGCAGTGTACACGGATGAAGTAGTCTGTGTAAATGAGGGATAACAGCGCGATAATTTTGAAAGCATTTTTGTGAGTAGATAACCAGGTCAGGTTAAACCCAGGACAAACCAAATTTTAGGATTCACATTCCCTTCTTGACTGGGGCCCTTTTTCTGAATTACATTCAGTGCAGCCACTAACCTCCCTCCCCAGAGATCCTTGTCCCTGATGCTTGGGTGTGATGCTGTCTTGTTGATATATGTGCAATAAATCCTGAAAATTTTCTGTGTCTTGCTGGAATTTCAGGTACTCTGAGCCTCTGAGTATTACAGGTTAAAAATGGGGTATTTAGAAAAAGTCGGGGGTGCGAGGGGAAAAGAGTGGTAGTAAATGGGATAAGCTAGAGAAAGAGGAAAGAATGAAGCAAAACATATCAAAGATTCTTACTGAGCAGGTCTTGAAGAAGGTTAAAGGATCATCACCGAGAATGATAGGAAGCCCCCTGAGGACAAGGCATCGGACTTCTGTGACATTCAAAGTCTGTTAGATTGAGGGAGCAGGGAAGACATCACAAAATTAAAACAATGGTTTAGATGCTTCCCTGAAAACAATGAGCAGACAACCATCTCCTGTCTCTAGCACTACTTTATTAAGGTCATGGGGATTGTAAGACAAAAACATTTAGCTGTAAATTAACAAACCTTTGTTTGTTGCATCAGGTCAGCCAACGCCTGTCCTGTGAGACCCCTCTTTGACTTAAAGATTTCCATGAGCCTGGGACTATGATGATCAAGTGCCTCATAGAATTCCTGTCTCAGGCTCTTACCAACCACTCTGCTGAACTCCAGACATACCTGAAACAGAAAAAAAGTATCACAAGTACAAGTATCATAATGTGATATTTTTATAAAATACCCAATTTTAGAATTTAATTAATGTTTGCAAAAATTTCCATGCAGAGACTGTTGATCATTGCTTAAACCACAAACATGAACATGTCACTGTAGTTAATCCATATATATGAAATCAATTCCAAATTTTTGATACTTTTTTGTTAAAACAGAGTAGACATAAATGAAAACTATGCAATTTAATAGTCACAAATTATTTTTAAATATCATCAGAGGGGCCCTGTAGAGACAGTATGTGAGACAAATCTATAGACCTACCTGTTGTTCAGTAAACAGAGCAGGCCAGCGTTGACGTATCTCAGCGATGGCAGGTTTTTCCATCACAACTTCACTCCTTCGAAGAGCAAACGTCAGATCCATCTTCTGCTTGATGAGGGCTCCATTAGGGGTTTTCTTTTTCATTTCATTCTCCATTATTTGTCGAGCATCTTCAAGGCTGGAGTCATCCTGTCCATCTGGATAATCTGGTAAGTAATTGATTTCTCCTCTCTTTGGCTTCTTAATTCTCTTGTTAGGTGGGTCACCGCCAGGAGAGTGCTTACCATGTTTACCACCATTCACTGTGACATCACAGTGACCCAGCCTTCGCATTTTTGTTCTGTAATTTCCCATCTTGAATTTCAAGCTGTTTTTCCAGCCACTCCACCCAGATGCAGATCCTTGTTCTTTGAGGCATGGGTGTACTCGCACCAGTGCCGTGGCAACAGCTTCGAATTCTGAATTTGTTGGGTATGCTTTTAAGGCATAAATGGTCTCAGCAAGCCTCTCGAGAATGTCATGTTTGAGCTCCTTTGAAGGAATGAGGTGTGTTCCATCCCTGAAATGAAGGAGATTTGCTTGACGCAGTCTGTATTCCACATCAACAGAAAACTTTGGTATATACATATCAAATTCCTCTGGCCACTGCTGGCGTCTTTCCTGAGAGGAGTTGGAGAGGATATCTGTGTCTGCCTGGCTGGGTGTGTCACTTAGTTCTTCAGTTGATGCTGACTGTGGGACATGCACCTCCTCAAGAGAAAGCATTGGAATAATTTTTAGTGTAGGTCGCTCTGGGAGTTCTGATATTTTTGTTAGATTGCAAAGTTCGTTGTCAAAGTTGGGATCTTTAAACTGTAAGGTGAAGTTGTAGTTTACTTGAAGAGCATCTTTAAGGGAATCAATCAAAAGGTCAACAGTATCAGGCTTTGTCGTCAGTTCCACTTTTCGTATGTCGGCTTCAGTGATGATCACTCTTACGAGCATTTTCTGTTGCACTGCCATCTGGTGATAAAGAGAGATTTTGTCAGCACAGAATAAAACGTTTAAGAGTTACCATTAGTTTCCCACCTAGTCTGTACGCTGACAGGGGAAAAACATCGTTGAGCTCTGACAATGGAACCACACACAGGGGCGTGGTTATATCACAGTAGCACACCTCATATGATCTAAGGTGCTCATGGTACCATGCACTCATTACTCTGCAGACAAACAATATTTCTGTATGAACTGCAACTATCTTTGTGATCTGCTTAAATTCAGGGAGACCTGAGCAAGTTCCAGCAGAAACTACCATATCTGGCTTGTATGTAACTCCATCCACACAAATGGATGACGCTACAAAAACTGTTGCTGACTCATGGATTTTCTGACTTAGTATCCTTTTGACATTCTCAGGGAAATATGAGACAGAGACAGTAGAGACCTTTTCCATTTCAACTGAAGGTTTGAAAAATGAACTTAAGTCCAAGTGATAGCTGACTGCTTTCTGATGTTTTACAGCAAGTGTAAGGGCTACATTCTTGTAGTTCTGAGCATCACGGAAAACTTTTTTGAAAAATTTGTGCTTTCCCTCAAAGCGCATTGTCCACACATCAGACAGTGGACCAAATGCCTTAATAAGTGAAGGATAGTGTTCAATGTAGTGGTGTTTTGGTCGTAATCTAAACTCTGGGAAAGTAGACTGCAGTAGTTCTCTGTGTTCTGCTAACTTGCACTCCAGGAAGTAGACCGTCTCTTCAGTGAACTTGGGAGCAACTACTAACTCTACAATATCTTTGACAAGCATTAGAACTTCCCATGCTTTTTCCCCTGGAGGAATACACTCACCAAGAAAAAATGGTAAAAGTCTTATTAGGCACCAGTTCTCATGTGCATTTCCTCCGATTGTGTGTTTTGTGGCAAAGCCCTTTGTAATAGGCTGTGGCCTATCAGTTTTGTCAGTAAATGTGTATGGAAAAGACCTGATAGCCTGATTCAGTGTTTCTAAACTAAAATATCCCTTGGAAATCAGATCTGAAAGACACAAAGACAACTCCATAGGGACTATGCCCTCCAGAAGATCATGCATGAGGTCAGGAGGGTAACCTTTAACAACATGAAAGTGCTCCAATTTTGCAGTAAATGGGCACTCTTTTTTCACACCATATGTTCTACCGAGTTCTGGGTCTTTCAAAACTTCCTGCACTTGTCTGTCATGATTGTCTTTATTTCTGAGCTCAAAGGCACCAGGGCACACCATTTGTTCTTGAGTTTCACTTCTACTTGCAATGCAGAATCGGCAGAACTTGTCAACAGAGAAGCTCTCATAGAATCCTGCCACAGCATGAGCACTCAGGTTGTCGGCAGCTACATACAAAACAGTTCCTTTCACACTTGCGCCCAATGCCTCGATATAAACACCATCCTTTTCTAATGACATAAGATCATGTATAAGGGGGTCAAGCACTTTAGCATAACCACATTCTTTTACAGTACTTGTGTTGCATATGAGAGCAAGTTGAATAGAGTTGAGTGATGCTCTATATTTTGCTGGGATATTGGCAATTACCCAGTAGACAGCACACATCTTATGCTTCTTCTTTGATGTTCCTAATGGATTGGCAACTTCAAAGTCATCAATATACAGACCAATGGCTATTGTGAACTCATCAATAGTAAGGAGGCAATTTTCTCTGAAGTATGCACCATCTACATAGGACTTGTATTCATTTGCAACATGTATTTCTTCAGACATTGCTTTATCTAACACATCTGGCCTGCTCAGCAACTTCTGCAGCATTTGCTGTATGGGAACATATACAACCGATTTGTTATCTTTATCAATTATATACTCTACAGGCATTACCAGTGGAAATTCTTTAGACACATATGATGCTCTTTTTTTAGTGGTTGCCAAAGAACCTTCTTTGCTGCAAAATATTGTCATAATGTTGGTTTCAGAAACAGCAGTGATCACCTGTTTCACAACTGACTCATCCATCTCTGAATCATACTTCATGAGAATCATCTTCACCTTATGATGCAAAAGTGGCTCTGACAAATAGTGTATATCACAAAGCTGTTTGATTATCTCTTGTACAGAGCGCTCAGGTACATGGAGGATAGTTTGCATCTTCAAAAAAAGTGCAGCTAGGTTGTGCTCTAGCTGATTTTTTAAATCCTGAAAATCTATCTCACACGTTTCTTCACTTGCAACATCTACTTCCCCCATGTCTTCAGTTTGCATTTGCTCATTTGCAAGGTTGCACTCTCTGTTTTCATCAGTTATCTCAACATCAACTATTTCTTTCTTAAACATCTTCCAGTTGTCTTCTCTATGTGTTTTACTTTTATGTGCATTAAAAGTTGAATACACACTGCTCTCAAATAAACAGCCTGCATATGGACACTGAACCTTTTGGTTAACTTTCAAATGTCTGCATCGGAGGTGGCTGAAAAATTCCGATTCAGAACAACACTCAATGAACTCACACAACTGACAACAGAATTTTACAGCTTCATTTTGTTCTCGTTGTCCCTCATTAGTATTAGAGTGAACACGTGATATGTGTGCTTTAAGGCTGTTTATGGACTTGAATGTGCATAGACAGTCGTGGTGCAAACAAGGGAATGGTACTGTCCTTGTGTAGCTTCCATGTTTTAGCCGATAGTGTTTAAGTAGCTGCGCTCTTTTCTAGGGATGGGGATCGAAACCCGGTTCTATCAAGGACCCGGTTCCAGTTTTTTCAAAACCCGAAAATCAATAACGTTTGGGCTTATCGATACCACTATCGAGTCTGGTCTTTTTTTTTTTTTTCCCGGAGGTCCTGTAACATAATTGTGTGTCCCTCGAGTCGCGTCACAGCATTTAAATCTAATCAATCCAATCACTGCAGCATGTCTACCAATGTTTTGGAATGAAATTGTAAGCAAACAGATATTAAAAGTAAAACAAGTGAAGTCTGGCAGTTAACTTTGCTCGCAACTCGAGAATGGCTGAACGGAAAAGACTCCTCCTCCTCCTGCTGCTGCCCCGCCGCACCACAGTCGGGCCCGTCTTCATCATCCACTCAGAGAACCACTGGTTAGCGCGCACACAGACTTTGTAGCTTGTCTGGTCACTTAAAAATGGTAATTGTGAAATCCGTGTTGTAATCGGCAGCATACAAGCTAGTTAGCTTAAAAAGTAAATAAAGTTTCAGACGTGCTGCGTGATGATGTGTTCAGGTTGGCTCAGTAAAACGACAATTAGGTTATCATGATGCGTTCAAGTGTAACGTAAAGAAAAGGGAAATTGAGTTTTTGGCGAGAAACATGAGTAATACAGTTGTATATTGCTGTAATTATTTTACAATATATAATTAAACTACTGATGCCAACATTTATTAAAAATTACATTTAATTTAAAATAAAATTATTTATTTGATAAATATTTTCCTAATCTCTAAAAACCTGATGAAAAGTGACAGACATGTTAATTTTTCTGCAAAAAAATACCTGTTAATTTATGGGCTGATATTTTATTTCCTTTTTTTCTGACACAGCATATTATTCATTTAATTTATATACATTATGACATTTTATTTTTCATTTGGTGCTGCTGATATATTCTAGTTAGTTTTATGTCATTTAGAAGTGGCCTATTACATTAGCCATGTTTACTGAAGGCTAGAAACTTTTTTGTTATGCTCACTTGTTAAGCAATAAAAGCAATACCAGTTCTGTTAAAAACATATTGTCGCATCGTCTTTCCACCAAATAACAGAAAAGTATCGATAGTGGTATCGATAAAGACTCGGATCGATAAGGAGTATCGATAAAGGTATCGATATCAATAAATATTAACGATCCCCATCCCTACTCTTTTCCCAGTAATAAAACCACAATATTTACACTTCCACTCCATCGTTGTATGGTTAAACTTCTGTGGAGTAAGGAAAATTACAGTTAATAGTGTAAAGCAGCGGTCCCCAACCATCGGGCCGCGGACCAGTACCGGTACCGGGCCGCACAGAAAAAAAAAAAATAAAATATATATATATATATATATATATAATTTATCGACGATCAGAGTCTGAGTGATGTTTTATTTTGAAAATATAAAAAAATTGTGGTATTCTCTCCCAATTACATCAGTCGGTGCATCTGTGCCTCTTGACACAGGTTAATCGGTCTCCACCAGGTGACGTCAATTGTTTACCTCGGGCGCGGTGCATCGTGGGAAAACCACCATATTAGGTGGAAAGTCGAGATAACCCTCACACGGCTGTTCTTTCGGCACAATTATTTACCAGAAATGACATGATCGTGTTGTGTGAGAGGCTGCCAATCCCGGTGTCGTGCCAAGGTAGTCATCCCTGCGAAAATTTGTATCCCCTCGTCGGGAGCGCGCACGGAGTAGGAAGAACAACCCGAGTTAACTCCGCCTCAATTCCAACGTGCAGAACTCAAAATTTTAAAGGTTTTAAGTGTATGAAAGTTGAGCTTTACTGTTTTATTCTTTACTTCACGTGTTATAGCAGAATATCGCCCGTGATATTGATCTAAAACTAATAATAAAACACAAACGTTTGCGTGAAAGCTGGTCGCTGACAGCAGTGTCTACTCCTCCCTCTGAAAGCAAACTGATCCTTGTTCTTTTCTATACGTGCCTTAAAAAAATCTCTCATTGTTTCAGTGTCCAAATGTTCTCATCCCATTGAAAACTGTTGTAAACCATATACTTGTAATAAAAATGAAATAGAAAATGGAGTGCACGTTTAATCATTAAAGACTATATGCAGTAGGAAAATAATTTTTTTCTGGTTGAAATTTAGTACTTAAATCTATATATGTGTTTATAGTAACGTACAATTTATCTATGTTGTACTATCCTTAATAAACAGTTTGTCTTCTAACATCAGCCGTTTTATTTCATCCCATTTTGCCAGAACTGGCAATATGGGATGAAATAAAACCTGCTGTAATCTGTTCCCCCTGTCTAAATCAGACAAAAAAGGCCCCAGCTTTTTCATTTTTGGCTTATAAGCATCTTTTATGATGACAACTAACTCCTGAAACTTTGGATGTGATTGACCTTTATTTCTTAAAGTTATAAGGGGGGAACAAATTATAGCAGGCCACCTGCTGTAATCTGTTCCCCCTGTCTAAATCAGGCAAAAAAGGTCTCAGCTTTTTCATTTTTGGCTTATAAACATTTTTTATGATGCCAAAAATGAAAAAGCTGGGACCTTTTTTGCCTGATTTAGAGAGAGAAATTATAGCAGGTGGCCTGCGATGCGATCAAGTAAAAAACGGTATGCCCCCGCCGCTATATTTCAGACAATATATTGTCTGAAATATAGCGGTCCGTGGTGCAAAACAGGTTGAGGACCGCTGGTGTAAAGCTTCTTAAAGTCACTGAAAAATATTTCTAACCAAGCAAGATAGCTAACAAGCTAACATTAGCTAAGTAGCCTTTACTAAGTAGCAAAACAAGAGATTAAACTTACCGTTTTGTGGCTGAACTCACTTCAGTCACCGAGTGCTTTAAATCTCTGTGGAATGAGTTCCTTGTTATAAGTTGTTGAAGATAAGTTGTCGTCTGTTTCGTCTCAAAATGCTTCGGAGCTCCTCAGTGCCAGCTTTTCTATTTCACTCGCTCAAAACTGGTCTAAACCGGATTTTTCGCGGGCAGGTGGATGACGTGAGAGGCAAACTAATGATATTGAGTTGTCTGAGCTCAAATACATAATTACAATAAGCTAGATCATTGGAAAGTGGCGTTTACTGAGAAAAAATAGTTAATATAAATAATTTTGTGATACTAACTTAGTTTGTTTAAGTCCAAACCATTGATTGTACTTAAAAATATAATTACACTGAAAAAGGACATAAAAAAGTTCAGCTTAATTGAAATAAACAAGTAATGTCAGTAAATTAGACCTCTCTAAGTACTATTAACTCAGTCTCTTTGAGTACAAACAAAATCTGGGTTTACAGTGTACAGTACAATGAGGAGCGCATCCTACCAACGCGCACCAGGGTGCGTTATGCAAACGACAAGCCCTGGTTCACACCTAAGCTCGGCCAGATTCGACGAGAGAAGGAGGCAGCACGCAAGAGCGGGGACAGAGACAGCTACAAAGAGGTGAAATACAGGTTTAGCAGGGAGATGAGGAAGGCTAAATCTGTGTATGCAAATCGCCTCCAGCAGCAGTTCTCTGCCAACGACTCTGCCACAGTGTGGCATTACCAACTACAAGCCCAAAGCCCCCCGAGCTCTGAATGACCGGGCACTGTGTGAAAGACTGAATACACACTACTGCCGTTTCGACTGTCCCAGAGCCGTTAGCACCTCTCTGGTCTCTCCAGCCACCCCCTCCTCCCCCAACACAACTGAGGCCACTCCATCAAAGGCCCCCTCAATCCACCCCTTGTCCCCCCCTGCCCTCTGCATCCTGGAGCAGGACGTGCACAGACAGTTTCTGAAGCTGAACACCCGTAAAGCTGCTGGCCCTGACGGCGTTTCTCCCTCCACCCTGAAACACTGTACCAGCGAACTGTCTCCTGTCTTCACGGACATTTTTAACATCTCCTTGGAGTCATGCCATGTGCCGGGCTGCTTCAAATCCTCCACCATTGTTCCTGTCCCGAAGAAACCAAGGATCACAGGACTAAATGACTACAGGCCGGTGGCGCTGACGTCTGTGGTCATGAAGTCCTTTGAGCGATTGGTTCTGCAACACCTAAAATCCATCACCGCCCCCCTCCTGGACCCGCTGCAGTTCGCCTACAGAGCCAACAGGTCCGTAGACGACGCAGTCAACCTGGCCCTCCACTTCATCCTGCAGCATCTGGACTCCCCAGGAACCTACGCCAGGATCCTGTTCGTGGACTTCAGCTCTGCCTTCAACTCCATCCTCCCGGGTCTGCTCCAGGACAAGCTGTACCAGCTCAACGTGCCCAGCTCCCTCTGCAGGTGGATTACTGACTTCCTGACGGACTGGAGACAGCACGTGAGGCTGGGAACAACTGTCTCTGACACACGGACCATCAACATCGGATCCCCCCAGGGCTGTGTCCTTTCCCCCTGGCTTTTCTCCCTGTACACCAACTGCTGCACCTCTAGCCATCAGTCCGTGAAACTGATCAAGTTTGCGGACGACACCACCCTCATCGGGCTCATCTCCGACGGTGATGAGTCTGCCTACAGGAGGGAGGTGGACCGGCTGGTGTCCTGGTGCAGCAGCAACAACCTGGATCTGAACACCCAAAAGACAGTGGAGATGATTGTGGACTTTAGAAAGGTCACAGCCCCACCGTCCCCCCTTGCCCTCACAGACAGCCCCACCCCCATCTCCAACGTGGAGTCCTTCCGCTTCCTGGGCACCACCATCACCCAGGACCTCAAGTGGGAGCCGACCATCAGCTCCCTCGTCAAGAAGGCCCAGCAGAGGATGTTCTTTCTGCGGCAGCTGAGGAAACTTAAGCTGCCAACCCGGATGTTGGTGCAGTTTTACACCTCCATCATTGAGTCCATCCTCACATCCTCCATCACCGTGTGGTACACTGGCGCCACCGCCAGGGACAGATACCAACTGCAGCGCATTGTGCGCTCCGCTGAGAAGGTGATCGGCTGTAAGCTGCCATCACTCCAGGACCTGTATGTCTCCAGGACCAGGAGACGTGCAGGTCGCATCACAGCCGACCCTTCTCACCCTGGACACAGACTGTTTGAACCTCTCCCCTCAGGGAGGAGGCTACGGTCCATACGGACCAGAACCTCCCGCCATAAAAACAGCTTCTTCCCCTCTGCCATAAGACTCATGAACACTATATGTCAGACTCCATAACCTGCCCATGCCATTCACACTGCTGTATTGCACACTGCTCTATTTGCACTATCTTGTACATTTTACTTTTTATATTTATCCATATTTTTATCTTAAGTGTATATATTAGTATATTTTTTGCATGCCTTATACCCTAGTGTTTTTAGAGATTTTTATAATTTTATTTACTATTTCATATATGTTTCATGTTGCACGACTGTACCACAGAAATTTCCTAGTTGTGAACCTCTTCACTAACAATGGCAATAAACCCGATTCTGATTCTGATTCTGATTCTGATTCTGAAGAATCCATTATGGGCCTAGATGTAGAAAAAAAAAACTTCAAGAAGTCTGAAAAAGATGTTCCGATGTAAAAGAAAAATTAAAAGTATTTAGGGAACATTTAAATTAAATAAAGCTCATTCAGCCCCTCTCAATTCTCTGGAGATTTTCAGTCTTTGGTAGCGGTAAACCTTCATCAAAGACAATACTTTTAATTTGAAAATGTTTTTTTTATTTTCATGGAGAGAAAAAAGCATTTTAAACACAAAGTGCTCGGTCTTTTTCAGACTTTGGGATAAGTCTTAACTCTTCTTTGATGCTTTTTACAAACAACTTTGTTTATTGTATATGCATGATTAAAATGGGGATAAAGATTTTTGATTTACCTGAGTTTTGGGTCCTTCCATCAGTACTCGTATTATTCCAGTAAAAATAGATCCAGAAATCTGATTCACAGTAACTTACATTTTTAATGCACTTACACCTTTTTAAAGCAGCACACACATTTATATTTCTTCAACAAAATAATTCAAATATTTCTAACACCAGTCATTGGCCTGGTCAATATATATTAAGGGACATCTTGAAAGTTGTTGAGGCATGAAACTGGAATTACTTATTTTTAATAACCCTCAATCCTCCAGCCTTCCATGGCATTGTTTCTCTTTTTCACAGCCAAGCACAGTGTTTGATGTACTGGAGGTTTTAGTTTTTTTTACACATCAAGCGAAACCTTCCAAGCGTGGGTGTTTGCTGGAGGCGGAGTAATCCTCCTTGGTTTCAGAATCCAAACAGACCCAACATGAAAGGAAAGCTCAATTATCCAGCCTTTTTCCAGATCAATCGGACGCCACCACCAATAAATATTGAAATTCTGACTCAGGCATCACGTGGGTTTTTATCTTTGTTTCTAAGAAACTGGAAAAGAGCAAAACAAAAAAAAAGAATCTGTTACAGACATCAATATGTCATCCAGACTTGATTTGAGAGCTGTGTTTGAGTCATTATACTCCTGATGTTTGGCTGGATGCTAAATGCGGCGGGCCTGCCTAGGACACACAATGTCTACTTTCTACTTTCTGGATACTTTATCGCACATAGTTGTGTGATAAAGTTTAGTCACACACCCTGCAGTCAGCTTAAAATGTATCTCAATAACTGAAACATAAACATTAGCAAAAGCATCTTCTGCTCACTGATTCTTGTGAGTTAACAGAGAGCTTAAAGCTAATGTATTGTATAAATTGTTATTTTATCCTGCTATTTTGTGGTGCATTTGCTTGTCTTAATCAATGTTTGATTAGTTTCCATTCTAAATACAGATTTTGAAGAGACATAAGAACTTGGAAATGCTAATTTTCTCCAGAAAATTAACAAAAGTACGTTTCTGCGACCGAAAGGTTAATAACTCTGAGAAAAACAATCCTTTGCATCTCAAAGTGAAATGAACCACTGTGCAATTGTAATAGTTACAAACTGTGGAGTTGAGGAGGAAGCTGAGACTCTTGCAAGAGAATGTTAAAATTTATTTAACACCCTGTCAGGTTTATTCAATAATGATTGTAAAGTTAATGTATGTGCATATGGAACTTTAAAGAAATGAGATGCTTAACTTACAGGTGCTGGTCATAAAATTAGAATATCATGAAAAAGTAGATTGATTTCAGTAATTCCATTTAAAAAGTGAAACTTGTATATTATATTCATACATTACATACAAACTCATATATTTCAGATGTTTATTTTGTTTAATTTTGATGATTACAAATGACAACAAATGAAAATCTCAAATTCATCATATCAGAAAATTAGAATATTGTGAAAAGGTTCAAAATTGATGGCCCCTGGTGCCACACTCTAATCAGCTAATTAACTCAAACCACCTGCAAAAGCCTTTAAATGGTCTTTCAGTCTAGTTCTATAGGCTACACAATCATGGGGAAGACTGCTGACTTGACAGTTGTCCAAAAGACGACCATCGACACCTTGCACAAGGAGGGCAAGACACAAAAGGTCATCGCTAAAGAGGCTGGTTGTTCACAGAGCTCAGTGTCCAAGCACATTAATAGAGAGGCGAAGGGAAGGAAAAGATGTGGTCGAAAAAAGTGTACAAGCAAGAGAGATAACCGCACCCTGGAGAGGATTGTGAAACAAAACCCATTCAAAAATGTGGGGGAGATTCACAAAGAGTGGACTGCAGCTGGAGTGAGTGCTTCAAGAACCACCACACACAGACGTATGAAAGACATGGGTTTCTGCTGTCGCATTCCTTGTGTCAAGCCACTCTTGAACCACAGACAGCGTCAGAAGCGTCTTGCCTGGGCTAAAGAGAAACAGGACTGGACTGCTGGTGAGTGGTCCAAAGTCATGTTCTCTGATGAAAGTAAATTTTGCATTTCCTTTGGAAATCAAGGTCCCAGAGTCTGGAGGAAAAGAAGAGAGGCACTTCATCCACGTTGCTTGAAGTCCAGTGTAAAGTTTCCACAGTCAGTGATGGTTTGGGGTGCCATGTCATCTGCTGGTGTTGGTCCATTGTGTTTTCTGAGGTCCAGGGTCAACGCAGCCACATACCAGGAAGTTTTAGAGCACTTCATGCTTCCTGCAGCTGACCAACTTTTTGGAGATGCAGATTTCATTTTCCAACAGGACTTGGCACCTGCACACAGTGCCAAAGCTACCAGTACCTGGTTGAAGGACCATGGTATCCCTGTTCTTAATTGGCCAGCAAACTCTCCTGACCTTAACCGCATAGAAAATCTATGGGGTATTGTGAAGAAGAAGATGCAATACACCAGACCCAACAATTC